ACAGGCAGGGATCGGAGAACCTGCTATTAAGAAGGAAAACAACACATCTATAAACAACTGTATTTATTTTACTTCTATAATTTATTTATTCACATCTTATGTAAATGAATTTTAGAAACTGTAAGTAAATTTCTTATTATGGGAGCCTCGGACAAAACAGAATATTTTATTCATTATTCAGTTTTAATGATTCAGTTTTCTATTTTAGAATCGCTGTGTTTGTCAGTTTCAAAACATAGATATATAAATATATATATGTTGTTGTGTGAATGCCTTCTTTTTTCTGTCGTTTTATTCATGAGTATAATTGTAACCAAATCATTGCCATCATTGTAAGCACTTTTACCAAAATGTAACTTGAGTATTTTGCTAGTAATGGGCGTCTTTAATTACAGTAAAATTTTGAATTGGAGTAGCCTTAAATAATGACATTTTGAACTAAAAAAATTACATCTTTTTTTATTGCTAAGTTTCTGTTAACTTATATAAGTATTTTAATTAATGCCCTTTGCTTATTTGAGGGATGTGTTCATATGTTTCTGTCTCATTGACGCGTATCCAATATTTTCATTGACATTATTCTAATTTTGAAAAAGATTAACAGGACCTTTTATAAAAGAAGAGTTACAAATACCGAAAAAAATCCTTATCTGAATAAATTCCAGTCGAGATCATTACAATATTATCCTTCATAATCAAGTTCTCCAAAAGGAAAGGGATTACTGACTAAAATAATCTTCAGTTTAGTTTTTTCACATATACCAACAATCTTTATGTTACAACTTACTCTTTCTAAGAAGTTCTTTTGTCCTCTGCAGATTATTAATTGCCTCTTCTAATGTTGCTTTTGATTCACCTGAAAAAAAATTCTATTTTATTAAAATAATTCAAAGGAAAAGGTTAGTATTGATATGTAGCATTTCAATTTGAAGCACAATAGACGAAAAAAAAACCCAAACTAATGCATGCCTTTATTAACTGCATAATAAAGGATCTTACGCAAATTGTGAGTGGGTAAGACTTCACTGTAAATATGTGCACAACAAATGTGAAATGGTGGAAAGAGTACCAGCACTGTACATAAAGAGAGCACCTGATCTGCATATGAAAAAATGGTTCCTCTAGAAAGTGGGTTTCAAGAAAATTTAGATTAGATTAAGCTCTAAATAATCATGAGTCCTTTAATTGATCCTAATTATGATGCAAAAATAAATAGAGAATGGAAACAGGGAATGTGTCAAATAGACAACAACTCGACCAAAGAGCAGAAAACAGCCAAAGGCCACCAATGGAAATTCAACGCAGCTAACAAATTCCGCACCAAGAGACGGGCTTCAGCTGGCCCCTAAACAAAATTGTATATTAGTTCCGAAAAACTGAGAAAGATACAAAATGACAATGATCAACATTAATTAGCAAAGGACTACTAGCAGTCACTGACATGCCAGCTCCAGACCTCAATTAAACTCATCGAAAGATTATGTCTTCATCAAATGAAAATCAATCAGAATCTCTCCCGTTAGGGGTTTATTATCATGCCATCATAAATTTTACGTGAAGAACATAACCCGTATTTACCAAATGGAACTGACTTTAAGTAAATTCAATATGTTATAATTTCCTTTCCCTGATTGAGATATATCTGTTTTACAACGGAAATTTAATAGTAGAATATACTCTTCTTATGGAGCAATAACATGTATTCCTTTTTTGGTTGGTTATGCGCTTGTTTCAACTTAGCAGTGAATTTTTATTGGACGTAAAAAGGAGCCGGGGTACGAAACCTAAGAAAAACGAATTTAACTCAGCCACATGTTCGTATGCCGGTCCCATTGTTGCCAATGAGACAACTAGTCTAATTGAAGCGTATGCGCATTGCTATACCTTTATGAAAAAAATGGTCCTACATCATGTCTTTATAATATACTGCTATGTTTGTTTTGCATAAGGTTTTGCTTTTCTCAGACTGTTTAATATTTCTAGGTCACTGTACGACCTTGAACAATTAGCAAAACCCATGCCGTATATAAAAATAAGGAGATGTAGTATGAATGCCAATGAGCCAACTAACCACCAGACTTCAAATGAAGTGGCCATGGATATAAGCATTTATAGGCCATCGTACGGCCTTCAATAATGAGAAAATCCCATACCGTAAAGCTTAAGTCGGCTAGTAAAGGCCCCCACTTGAAAAATGTGAAACAATGCATACGAAAAAACTAGCGACCTCAATTAATAACAAAACAATTATGAAAAAAAGTATGACAGATACAAACCAACGACAACCACTGTAATACAGGCTCCTGACTTGGGACAGGCACATAATGAATAAAGAATATGGCGGGATTATACATTAGTGTGAGCGCTCAAACCTCCGTCTAACCTGGAACAGTGGTGTAACAGCACAACATAATGGCTTAACTCAAACGATCGGTAAGGGCACAAAATCAACAAACATAAAAACAATAAACACAAAGCATCGAAATAAGTGTATTCGCAGTTACAGAAAACTAGTTCAAAGCAAATTACAACAAATAAATAAATAATGTTCTGCCAGACTAAAGTACCAACAAGTACATATCTAATTGATTTAGTAAAAAGACGTCATTAGCAGTCTGAGAAATGCATGACCTTGTGCAAATTGCAGCAATGCCAAAATAGAAGTAAACAGTATCGACATGATGTAAAAATGTAGGATCATGAGTTATTATAACTGTACATATTTTGAAATATATATTTAGTTATGTGTGTATTTATCAAAACCAAAATCAATGTTAAAACCAGTAAAAACAACATTTAAAGATCATACTACTATGTTTAATTGATATTCTTTAAGAATGAGTTTATTAAAAGGATCAATGAGTTTACATAGATCATATCTAAATTTATGGACTTAATAAACAAAATTCCCGTAAGCAATATCATATTCCAAAGTCATTTTTTGCATTTGTTTGTATCTTAATATTGCTTTGAATTTTATTGTTTAAGAATTGATAGCAAATCTTACATAGTCTCTATCAGACATCTCCGAACTTTTCTTTCACCAGGGAGATTGGCAAACAGTATTGAAACTTGTCGGAAATTGAAGACCGTATTTTGATATATTTTTTTGTTTCTGTACTTTGTAACTTTTTGACGTTTACTCCCAAGAAAAGTTACCTGATCGACTAGTCTCGATTACACAGACGCATATATAAATATATCGTCTGGGTTGATTAACCGGACTGGTCAGATATTTATAGGGGGCGTAACAAACAATTAAATACAGAACATCATCCATAAATAGCACTTCCGTTATCCCCAAAATAAAAAAAAAAACAGTAAGCAGTGTACTAGTATATCTATATGTGATTATTAAACTGACATTCTATGTTCTTGTAGCTCACGCAGTGATGCCCAACTTGACAGTGATATGCATTTTTAATAGAGACATGATGTCAAATAAATAAAACGGCTTCAAATACCATTTCACACGTATTCTTGTCTCAGTGGTTTATAAACATTTATTTAAGATCTATAGTCAAAATAAAGCTTTACACCGTACTTATTCAGATTTCGGATATTTTTTCCTTTGATTAAAAATACTTTAAGTGTTAATCATTTTTTTTTGCCATGATTTTTATCTAAAAGACTTTATCATTAACTACTTGTCTAGCTTCAATTTCTACAAAAACGATTATAAACTGTAACTAACGGTGACCTTTTTGACCTGCCTCTATTACAGGACCTTAGTTTTCTCGTTTGAATTGTTTTACATTTGTGATTTCGGGGCCTTTTATAGCGGACTATGCGGTATGGGCTTTGTTCATTGTTGAAAGCCGTACGGTGACCTATAGCTGTTAACTTCTGTGTCATTTGGTCTCTTGTGGAGAGTTGTCTCATTGGCAATCATACCACGTCTTCTTTTTTTATACTTAATAATAGTTATATTTATTGTTAATTTCTGTTCGTCCTGAACATGTATGCAATATATTTACCACTAGACGATAACCAAGCAACCAGCAATCAATCTATTCTTATATTCTAGCACACCATGGTATTCTCTTATCTTCATACTATAAAACACCATTATTCTCTATTGTTCATATTATAGCACACCACTTTTTCTATTTTTTATATTGTAGCACACCATTAGTCTCTATTCTTTATTTTGTGGTCCATTTTTCTTAGTTTTTTCCCATTATTCTCATTTCCGAAACTCCTGTTATAATTTATGCTGTCCTTGTTATATATTTCATTCAAATATCTGATACACCTGAGACTACTATATGTGTTATAGCAGTCTCAGGATACACTTACCTTTTAAAAAACACACATCAAGTTACAAAAAATTTCCTCAACTGTGTTACAGCTATTACTTGCAGATCAGTGAGATCACACAATGAGCCAACTCAATTTTCAATTACAAAATAAACTGCAAACGACAGAATAGTATCGCACAATCCTTTTGGGAAGAACACATTTATGAACCAACCTTCACACAATACCACTGTGCCAGTGTTAGCCCGTGTCCATAGAGGAAATACAGAACTTAACCAGTCATTGAATGCATGTTTGTATCATGCACATGGAGAAGATGGAATAGGATTTATCCCATACTGCATGGTAACTTGTAAAAAAACCAACAACTCAAAAGTGTATTCTACTTCTCTAGAGGAATATCCTTATGATTGTTATTGATTAACTGATTTATTGTTTCAGATCTCCATCATTTCTACTATAATTTTAATATCCATCATGTATAAGTATGCAAGAAAGGACAGCTTCACAAGAACAATATCTTCTCTTTTGAACCTTTATATAAAAATAAGGAGATATGGTATGATTGTTAAAGAGGCAACAACCCACCAGAGCTAAAATGACGTGGATATAAGCAAATATAGTCACTGCACGGCCTTCAATATTGATAAACTCCATTCCGTATAGTCAACTATAAAAGGGCGTGACATAACAAATGTGATACAATTCAAACGAGAAAACTAACTGTTTAATTGTTTTAATTTACATGATTTTTAATTTGTAAATACAAATCTTAATGCTCTGACATGTCTGACAAAAATTTTGTTCTTGATTTTTGTTTTATAGACTTAATATACGTCTGTGTATCTTTTTTGGCTTTGTGTATATTTTTTTAATTCTTGACATTTATCATATAAAATCTGTGTCCAGAAATCATCATTGGTTTGTCTACAAAAGAAAATAAATATTAAAATCATATCAATTTTGGTCATCAACATAGCATATATATGAAAAAAAAATTATTGTTTGAGAAAAAAATCATACAAATATATTGTATAAATTAGTGTCCAGGGATAAGCTGAATCCCGCCTCCGGAAGGGTGATTTTCTCACTGCATTGAAGACACATTTGAGGCATTGGGCTGTTTCCTGCTCTTTGGTCGGGTTGGTGTCTCTTGACACAGTCCCTGTTTCTATTCACTATCCAAACCATGCATGCGTTTTTCTCATTGTTGAAGGCCATACAGTTGCCTATAATTGCTCACATTCACTTCATTTGAACTTGGGTGGATAGTTGTCTCATTGACATTCATACCGCATCTCCTTATTTTGCATAACAACGTGTCCCATTTTAATCTCTATTGTTTAAGCAAAGTGCATATGTTTTTTTTTAAATCCAGTATAGAACATTTTATCCGTTTGGTGTATATACAAAATGGCATCTTCTAGATACACTTTGTCTGTTTTTCTTCACTTAGGGTTTTGGATTGCGTTCCCTTCTTTGAATATGTACATCATTGTGAATCTGTCCTCTCCCCCCTTTATTTTACACATATCAAGATGCAAACTCTCTTATACAGATAGGTACAACAATCTAATCTTGGATGAAGGTCATATTTCGGCGTCATAGCCCCTTTTCATCAAATATTTATAAAGTTAAAGATACTACATATCAACCCCAAATTGTATTTATAGCATGTACGACTATTCGAGTGGTCCCAGTCAATACAAAATTTGTCATTTAATTGTATAACTATTAACTCGTTTGCATAGCACGGAAATGCATAAAAAATATAACTACTCAATGTATCAGGTTGCATTGAAATTTATGTTACAGTTTGTATTGTTATAACATCTTACCAAGCCCAAGGTTGGCTGTGCTGTTATTTTCCTTCGCGGCCAAGCCATGCTGTCTGGTGTTTTCCATGATTTGTATAACGTCACAAACAAATAAAAATAGCTTTAAACGATGTCATTCGACTAATCCAAACAACAATCGAAACACTCGGACTTTTCAATAATATTATCGTAATGTAATTTCTTCCGAAGTCAATAACCAACTTCTCCCATTTAAACAAGATAAAAAAGCCGATACTATTCCGATTGTCATAAATTACCATTTCTATATCACTTGTCATCCAGACGCTATACTTTGAAAAATAAAGCGGCTGGATGATCGAGACCACTGATCGACATGATTTCATTATACTATGTGCTTTGATACGAATAAAAAGAGATGTGTGGTATATGTCATTGACACAGAAACCCAACGCCAAAGACAATGAAAGAATCAAAAGTCATCTAGAGGGCAACCCAGATTCTTCAACAATAGGCAAGTGTCAAGATCTAAATCGTCCCGAGTCTAAAAAAAGTTGTAAATATATTCAACAGAAACTGCACATATGATACGGTAACATCATTCCATAATTGTATTGCATGCTTATACTTAATCAAATGTAACTATGTTCTTTTATGCGCACGATCCTTTCGATATTATAATGAATAAAGAGTAACAAATGGTTTGAAATCTAAAATAAAACTAGTTAGACGTAGTTCCAAAAATCAGAGAAATGATTTATAGTTTAACTTTTAAGAAAAATTATAAATATTTCACGGGGTTAGTTTTCAAGCTACATGTAGTGCAAAATTCTCTTATTTCATAAAATTATAAAGGAGAAAACCACAATTATCTGAACTAAAAAAAAAACAGATGATAGAATAAAAAAAAAATGACATACTAGTTTCCATTAAATACTCCCACAACATAAAAAAGTGGGGGTCACCGAGCTGTTTTATTTACAAACTTTGTATCAAAAAATGTAAATCCACTGTATAATTCCTTATGAAGAATCGTTAGCTGCATCCCCCTATATACTATTATACTAGTTTTAACATTTTTGTATTAACCTACGTAATGTAGCTATAATTGTAACACGTCGAGACGATTAAAATCTTGACACTTGCCTATTGTTGAAGAATCTGGGTTGCCCTCTAGATGACTTTTGATTCTTTGGCGTTGGGTTTCTGTGTCAATGACTTATACCACACATCTCTTTTTATTCGTATCAAAGCACATAGTGTAATTAAATCATGTCGATCAGGTGACACAATTGAAGCAGGAACTGTTAACACTGTCAGAACACTTGATTTCACTTCCGGTGTTTTGTAGGTTTCGTATTTGAAAGACTATTACATTCCACAAAACACTGTACATAAAACTTAAAATTGAGCAACACGATTCTAATCAAACAATAGGGTTGGACTCGTTTATTATGAAGCGATACATGTACTGGTGTATAAGGTATTATGTTCTAAAGTGAAATGGCGAATACACCGGTCTTAGAACTATCTTAGATGAATTTGTGACGTTTACTCCGAAGAAAAGCCACCTGATCGACATGATTTCATTAAACCATGTGCTTTGATACGAATAAAAGGAGATGTGTGGTATATGAACAAGTATCCGTAGGAATATGACATAAAACGTGTTGAAATCTAAGTTTTACTCTATTGGTGCGTAGGTGTTCCTTATATATAATTATACCGGTATCTGTATGGTTTTGGTGTCCTTGTTTAGGTGAAATTTATATACTTTTTTTATTTTCAATATCTGTCGCAATACAAATCAAGTGGAAAAAAGAAGTATGAATGGTTCATCTTCCCTGTACCTTTCATTTTCAGGGTATATTCCGAAAAATGTAGTAAAAGAGAGGCGGATAATACCAAAGGGACATTCAAACTCATAGGTCGAAAATAAAATGTTTTTTTTTTATGTCGGTGCCTTTTTATAGCCGACTATACGGTGTTGGTTTTTTCATTGTTAGGCCATGCGGTTACCTATAATTGCTAACATCCACTTTATTTGAATTTTGGTGGCTAGTTGTCTCATTGGCAATCATACAGACCGTCTAAAATTCAAACTGACCACACGCACTATACACGTACGAACGATACACGCACGGTGAATGCACGGTGAATGAACGATCCACGATCCACGCACGATGAGCGATAAGCGTTACACGGAGGATTAAAAAAATGAATGATGAATGATGACCCCATGATACAAACACGGTGGATGATGAATGATGAACCCACGATACACGCACGGTGAATGATTCATTGACGAATGAACGATGAGCGCTTAAAATAAAGCAAAGTGCTCTCAGCCAATGAAATTGTAGGATTTAGTGTTTCTTAATTGTGAAAAAGGAAAGCAAATCATGTTCTTAGTAAGGGATTTAACCTATTGTTTAGGCCTATTTACAGTTCAAAACAGAGTTTCTTTAAATGAGTTACAAATGCCCCCAAGCACATTTATCAGCTTGACAGGTTTGTGATTGAAACTGGGTTTGATTTTAGAACAAATAACAAAATTACTGGTGCAGTAAAATTAATGTTATTATGAGAATATTTATAACTTAAAATTTACAAAAATATTAAACAATATCAAAGCGATGAAAAAAAAAAAAAAAAAAAATCAAATCAAATATAACCTAAATCTTTAGCTTATACGCTTACCAAAACTCAAATTACTGGATCCGCTGTTGGTAAGAACAGTAATTTCCAATATTCCGATAAGATTAACAAAAATGCAGGAATTTAATTTAACTTTTGTATATATATATAAAGCATTTTATTTGAACATTTAGTTTTAGTTAATTACTTCACACAATGAAGTAGTATTTGATGTAAAGAGCTGAACTCCGCTACTGGCTGTGAAACAAAATTTAGTTGTAACTAAAATCTTGAATTTTTTGAGTTGAACTGTAAATAAACAAAAATATAATTCCTCACTAAATCATTACATGAATAACATTCATACTCACATTAGGAAATTCATACAACTCCTACCATGTCATCGTACCGTTATGTCATCTAACGTCTAAAATACAATTTATTAATAATTTCCAAAATTATAAGAAAGTTCTTATATCACTAAAACGAATCCATAAATGAAATAAAATGCCAAAAATGAAGTCATGCATTAAGTATAACCTTACACTCACAATGAAACGAATTCTCGAATACAACCAATCAAGAGATCATTTGTGCCTTCACCACTTTACAGTATTCTAAGTTTGTAAGAGAATGATAATTCCTTTCTTCATGATAAGTACTCGCTAACATTCGTACTCAATCATGACGAAAGGGATTATCATTCTCTTACATATACTTAACACACGATTCAAAAAGCCATTTTATTTAGAATTGCATTTAATATTGACATTTAGAATATTGCAAAGTGCTCTCGACCAATGAAATTGTAGGATTTGGTGTTTTTTAATTATGAAGAATGAATGAAATCATGTTCTTAGTAAGGGATTATCCTATTGTTTAGGCCTACTTACAGTTCAAATCAAAAAGTTTCTATAAACGAGTTACAAATGCCCGGAAGCACATTTACCAGCTTGAAAGAATCTGTGAATAAAACTGACTAAAAGTTGAATATTGAAACAAACAAAAAAATCAAAACAACATGAAGTTTACTGGTGCAGTAACATTGGTACCGTTAACATTATTATGAAAATATTAATAACTTCAAATTACTAAAAAAAAAACAATGCAAAAAAAAAGGAGAAAAAATTTTAGAATGAAATAAAATCTCATTCTTTAGCTTATACTCTTTCAAAAACTCAGATTACTGGATGCGCGGTTGGTGAGAATGGTAATTTCCAATATTCAGATAAAATTTAATAAAAAGGAATTTAGTTTTACTTTTGAATATATTTTAAACTTTTAAAGGCCATGTATTTGAACATTTCCCTGACATAATGAAGTAGTATTTAATGTAAAGGACTGGACTAAAATATTGGAATTAAAATAAAATTTGGTTGTGACTCAAATTTTGAATTTATTGATTTGAACTGGAAATAAACAAAAAGATAATTCCTCGTATATGTAAGAGAATGATAATCCCTTTCTTCATGAATAAGTACGAGCGTTAGCGAGTACTTATCATGAAGTAAGCGATTATCATTCTCTTACAAGCTTAGAATATAGTAAAGTGCTCAAGGCTCAAATGATCTATTCAAGAATTAGTTTCATTGTCAGTGCAATGTTTATAATTGATGCATGACTTCCTTTTTCGGTATGTCATTTATGGATTAGTTTTAGTGATGTGAGGACTTTCTTATCATTTGAGAAATATTTAAAAAAAAAAATGCGTTATAGATATTAGATGACACAACAGTAGAAAGAAAAGGTAGGAATTGTATGTTTCCTGATTGTGAGTATGAATGTAAATCATGTAATATTTCAGTGAGGAATTATCCTTTTTTTATTTACAGTTTAAATCAATTAATACATTTGAGTTACAACTAAATTTTATTTCACAGCCAATAATTTGGTCCGGCTTTTTACATCAAATACTGTTTCATTATGTCAGGGAAATGTTCAAAAATAATACCCTTAAAAGTTTTAAATATGTTCAAAATTAAATTTCTGTTTTTTTTTTATCGGAATACATGTATTGGAAATAACTATTCTCCCCAACCGCTGATCAAGTAATCAAAGTTTTGGTAAGACAAAGATTTAGGTTATTTTTTATCTGAAAGATTTTTGTCTTTTTTTTTGCATTGCTTTGGTATTGTTTAATTTTATAGTAATTTGAAGTTATTAATATTTTCATAATAAAATTCACGGTACCAATTTTACTGCACCAGTAAACTTCAACTTATTTTGAGATTTTTGTTTGTTTCACAATTCACCTTTTAGTCAGTTTCAATCACTGTGTGATAAATCCTTTCAATCTGATAAATGTGCTTCGGGGCAGTTGTAACTCATTTATAGAAACTCTTTGTTTTGAACTGTAAATAGACCCAAATAATAGGATAATCCCCTACTAAGAACATGATTTACATTCATTCTTCACAATTAAGAGGCATCCAATCCTACAATTTCATTGGTCGTGAGTACTTTGCTATATTCTAAGCTAGAATATTACATGATTTACATTCATACTCACAATCAGGAAACATTTCTTACTATTTCATTGTACTGTTGTGTCATCTAATGTCTAACACGCAATCTATAATATTATATTTTCCAGAATTATAAG